AGAAGGAGAAGAAGAAGAAGAAGAAGAAGAAGAAGAAGAAGAAGAAGAAGAAGAAGAAGAAGAAGAAGAAGAAGAAGAAGAAGAGGAAGAAGAAGGGGGTGAAGAGGAGGCAGCAGCCACACATGGTGGCACGAGCCTGTCATCCCTCGGGAGGCTGAGGCAGGAGGATCACCATGAGTTTGAGGCCAGCCTGGGCTACCCAGTGAGACCCTGCCTCCAGAAAAAAGAATTTATGATAAAAAATGTCAACAAGCAGCCAGGTAGACAACATGGCCCAAGGGGACAAGGGACGTGGGGGACCCTGGGGTGGGTGCCTCGGGAGCATCAGGGGCTGGCCGGTCACCCAGGGGCACTCGGCGGGGGAGGGCTGCAGCGTCACATCGCGGAGACAGCAACATCACCGCCCGGCCCAGACGGCTGCACAGCAGGCTTGGCTTTTTGTCTGGATTCTTTTCTTGCAACACTGAGGATTGAACTCCGAGCTCCACACCAAGCTCCAGCACCAGCTCTTTTTTAGTTTTCGGTTTGAAACAGGGTCTCCCTAGGTCACTAGTTTGCCCAGAATGGACACAAAGTTGAGATCCTCCTGCTTCAGCCTCCCAAATGCTGGGGTGACAGGCGGGTGCCTCTAAACACCCTGATACCTGGGGCGACTTTGCTTGGTCTGTGAGTGGGGCGGGCGCAGGGAGTGGGAACTCTGTAGCTCTTGAGTAAAATTAAAATGTCCAGGAAGGAAACGAAGTAGGTTTGGTTTGAAATATGTAACAAAGCAAGTGTTAACATTGTAACAAAGTGCTTCTTTTGTTACTTCAGGACCAGGTCACCCTTGCAAACACCACAGAAACACATTACACAAAACTTTAGGAACAAGTATGTTTTCAAAAGATGCGGAAAAGCTATTTTTACAAATGGGCCTGGTGGTGCACGCCTGTCATCCCAGCATCAGGAGGCTGAGGCAGGAGGATCATCGGGAGGTCAGTGCCAGCCTGGGCTGCACTGCAGAACCCGGCTCCAAGTAATTTCAAAAATAGGAAAGAAACTTCAGAAACAGGTCACACAAACACCACTGAGACACTTTAGATCAAAGAGGGGAATAAAAGTATCCACAAAGGTTTTTTTTTTTTCTCTTGGTACAACTTTTTCCCCACCGAAGCGGACTTGTGTAGAATTATTACCGGTTTGAAAATAAAGCACATTTTTGTCTCAGGATTTAAAAAAAAAAAAAAAGACAAAAACCTGCACAATTATGGCATGCAATCTGCAGTCAGATGCGCTGTAATAGAAAGTCCTAAAGCAGGAAAAGCACTCAGGGTGAATCCCCCGTAGGCGAGGGTTTTGCTTGCAGGGGGCTTCGCCGATGTGGGATCGATCATGACCGGGTTTGTAAGCCCTGCCCTGGCCTGGATTTAAAATTTCTCCTGTTTATTAAACGAGCCTGTGTTATTTCGAGCCGCAATGAAACAGGTGCAGGAAGCCAGGGGCGTCTTTCTGAGGGACAGCAGTGGTCTCCCGAGCCGGGCGTCACCGGGGGCCGGGGCTTCCTGCTGTGTCGACAACTCTGACAGGGGGTCGGTGTGAGTTCATGCCAGAGAGGATTAAATAAATGCCTTCTTTATTTACTCCCCTCCATGGAAATGACTGAGGAGACGGCAGTGCCCCAGATCAGCCTGATGCGACATGCAAAAAGAAACCACAGGCCAGGTGTGGCACTGCACGCCTATGTCATCTCAGCACTGGGGAAGCTGAGGCAGGAGGAACTCCCAAGGTTCAAGGCCAGCCTGGGCAGCACAGCGAGGCTGTCTCAGAAACACAAACAAAACAGAAAGGGAGAATCTGTGCGACACACGCAGGAGACAGGAGAGACGCCAGGACAAAGAAGCCCCGACATTACAATGCACATCGTCAGACACGTGCCACGTGGTACACTGGTGTGCTCCCCACCACATCACCCGGGTCCTGAACGACACACAGACCTTGTGGGATCCTCCTTGCTGGTGGGTGGGTGTCTGTCCCTCCCAGCCCCGATCCCATGCAGCCACCCGAGCCCCAGGCACCAAGCCTGCTACCAGCTCTGTCCTCCATCTGTACAGTGCCCACACCTCTGCATCCGCCTGCCTCCACTCTCCACATCTGTCCTGTCCTGTCTGCAGCCGGACAGGTTTCTGTCATAGGCTCCTCTGTGGTACAGCTTTCAACAAACTACCCACCCACCCGAGTCTGTGAGCATTGTCCACCTGTGTACCCACAATACCTCTGTCTGCCTACCAAGCCACCTGCTCACCCACCCATCCACCCACCCATCTATCCCTCCATCCATCCATCCAC